TTTAGAAAAGTACTTGCCCGACAGATCGGGCCAGGCTATCTTATGAATTTATAATAAGTTCTGTTGAAAAGAAAAAACAAACGCCTAATCCCACAGTACGGAAGGCCAGTAAATTTGCGTCCACGCCATAGATTAGCTAAGTAGATTTATAAATTATATTTAATTAATCCCAGTCCCTATGTGACAGTAGTAAAACCTTACAATAAAATACCAGAATATATAGAGACAGAACATAATATTGTACAAAATTTAAACATGTATAAAATAATTCTAATTATAAAAAACTTTTTGTTGCAAGACAATTTTTAATTAATAATATGAATACACAACAATGACTAATATTGTGAATGGTAATATATGTTAATAGTTCATTTGAGTTTGAGTTATGACAGCCTCTGTGACCTAACGGTTATCATGCCAGACTGCCACGCAGAGATCCCAGGTTCGACTCCTGGGCCGGGAGAAATATTTGTATGGCCTACATTTATTTCTCTCGTGCGAGTGGGTGTCATTTGTGGTTGTCTATGAGTGTGCCCACAGCACCCGCGACAAGGGGTTTCCCAAGTGTGGGGTTATGTTGAGTGTGTGCGTTATTAAAAAAAAGTTTTATAATTAGACACAAATATCTTTTGTTTAGAATAATTTAATATACTAATTTATCATGTTGCAGTATCCTATCAGAGTTCATGTTTGGGTACTGAAACATTTGAAATGTACACCATATCTACAGATGATTGCAATATTGCCCTTTACATCAAAGCAAACGTAATGGCCATTTATAGCGAAATTAAGTTATTTACGTATCTGGGATCAGCGAAAGGAGATCTACAACCCCATCTAATCGGTTTTTTATATTTTTTATCTACACACATATCATAAACTCTCTATGATGTGTTCACAAACCGCAAATTACTACCAGCATAAAGATAAACTGTTTTGTTAGAACAAATTTCTTATCTGTGAAAATGGTATTATTGCTTCATTAACATCAAAGTAGATTTTATTATTACATTCTAATTTCGAACATCGCTGAAAAAAAATTGATTTGACCTCAATTCTAACATCAGTCAAGATGAAGTTTTATTCGAAATGAAATGTCAATAGCAAACAATTGTGACAAATTTAACACGTTACTTGATTTTTTTTCTATGCTTGATATCGAATGATGTGATAGCTCACCTGTCGGCTCGTTTCCACGCTCCAAAAAACACGCTCAAAAAAACGCAAATCCACGCTCGTATTTTAATGCCTTTTATTATGTAACACAGCACATAAAATACTAATTTAGTGTTAAGCAGAACCAGCGTAATTGACATTTTTAGTATCCAAAATACTACCATTACTTACATAAATAAAGGTATTCATGGTTTCAGCCCTGGTAGGGATTTTAAAGTTGATTTTTTTTCTAAGGAATAGTGGTGCTATTGCGTCGGGTGTGCAGAATCCCACTCTGTAAACGCTGTGCTGGTAGTCTATAAGTAAAGAAAAAGAAAAGGTTGTATATGTCATAATTTACCAGCTCTACTGGTGCTGATGACACTTAAAAAGGTCAGGAATGCATCGCTACTCGGTTTGGAAAAGAGTGCTGGCTTCTGACAATGCAATCCAGAAGAGAGCACTTTGTGACACTTCCTCCAACAGCTCCATTTTTAAATACTGGCTGTGTGTACTTCTGTACTTCCACCGAGGTGCGAATCGTAAATGACAATTACCCATTTATGGTATTGCTGGCTAGGACAATCTCTTCTTACTTACTGCATCACGTCTTGGGGTGGTGCTGCTAAAAGTAATCTAATTGTATTAGAACGAACTCAGAGATGTTTGTTGAAAGTTGAATTTTTTGAAACCCGATTTTTTCCTACATCCCAACTGTACCTCGAAGCGAATGTACTACACAGCGCGCACTATAAATTTTCGGAACTGGCCACTTACATAAACAATATTTAAAAAGTTATTGCATCATTTAAAAATGGAACTCTTTGGCTGTAGAATACCGTTTGTTTCATCTGATTGCCACTTGTTTTTACATTGTGGCGTAATTTTAGAAATTGGTTGTCTACATCACCATGGATTTAACTCGTGAAAATTTTCGTAGCATGATTTTCTACGACTTTAAGTGTAATTTAACAGCTCTGCGGACCATCGCTCGGTTTCAAACTACTTTTGGCGACGAAGCACTATGCAAGACTACTATTTATAGCTGGTTTGCACAATTCAAACGCAGTCGTGTGAATCTCAGTGACGAATTTCTTGATGGTCGTCCGTCCACTGCTGTGAACAACAAAAACATCGATGCTGTGCGCCGTATGATCAAAACAGACAAGCATGTGACATACCATGAGATTTGGACATCTTTAGGCATAGGCATGAGTCAAATACAATCAATACTACACAAACATGTGGGTGTGAAAAAGCTGTGCTCCCGGTGAATCCCACACAATTCGACAGAGGCTCAAAAAACAGATCGCGTCACTTGGTGCAATGTCATGCTTACCAGATTCAACGAAGGGTCGTCAAATTTGGTGTGGGACATAGTAACAAGTGAGGGAACATGGATTTGTGGTTAAGATCTCAAAACAAAGCACCAATCAAACCAAGCAGGTATTATTATTATTATTATTATTATTATTATTATAGTTCATATTTTATTGTATCTCATATCCTATAATTTAATCTACAATATCTAAAATTATTTAGATGATACACGTAAGCTGGCAAACACGTCATCGTGTATAAAAATCAAAACATCAGTGACTGAACGATTATTACTAGTTACAGTTTACTTTCCACGTCTTGACTTTTATTTATTTTCCAAAATTTTAAGATATTATTTGATGTACATCTTACCTGTTAAATAGTAACGGTAAAATGCATCGCCTTGTGCTGTTATCGTGCAAAATTATAAAAAAAACCGCTAATGTCATACCTCTGCTTAGACGGTCCTCTTTAAATTCAGCTTTGTTATCCCGCAACGCATATTTTGCATGGTTCATCGGCACTGCTCTCCAACAGTCGCAGGAAGCTAAGATATAAAATAAAGAAGGAAGATATAAAAAATATTATCTTTGTTGCTTGTCTTTGTTGTTGTTATTGTATTATTATATTGCAAGAAAATAGTAACAAGTTCTCAACGCATCGAGACGCTCGAATAACTGGTGTGTTATGAAAAGCTTCATTTTCTATAATCATATACAAATATTTATATACCTTATTGTTTGGTAAAACAAGTGATATTGATTTGCTTGTATTTTTCTCTGAGTAATCTAGTGCCGTGAACCGTAACTAGTAAGTTGTAGGTATTTAATTTTTGTAACATTATTTACTACAAAGTAATTTCAAAGCTGCGTAATTACAAAAAGACTCATCAACAAGTATAGACTTATGATTTGTCTGTTTAAACTGACACGATTACTCCTGTGTCACCTTTTTGATTAAATTAAATACGAGTCTTCTTTGAAAACAACACTTAGGCTATAATCCCCTGTGCCGATCCACAGCGGAATTGGATTGTCTGCCTAAACTGCGTCTGTGTAAGCCATCTGGGCAAAATTTCGTAGCAGTAGAGCTCCTTGTGAAAGAGGTCGTCCAAGGAAGTACTGCCTTATCTTACCTTACCTATTTTTGCCGCTAAGCACTAATGTGATCATTGCTGTGTTCTGGTTTTGAAGGGTAAGAGTGCTGGTGAAATTACAGGCACATGGGACTTGTTAACTTATGTCTCAAGGTGACGGGCGCAGAGACAGTGCCCATCAAATCTTTGCGATTTATACTTTTGAGTGGCATTGCAACTGCGGAGGATAGGAGTTTCGCTTACCACCAGGCGCACGACTTGTTCGTCCCGTCACTTGGAATCATAAAAAATCTTAGTTACTATAATAGCACATGTAGGTATATAAAAATCTGAATCGATACGTGGCTAGTTTAGCTCCGACCTCCACAGACAAGCGTTCTCCACAAGGCTATCACTGCTAAATTAAACAGAGTGTGCAAAATAATTTTGTTTCCTTATATAAAAATGTTACAAATTGGAAATGCGTACGGAGGATCTACTTTCTTTTCCGCAAATTTTAAATTTTTGTTAATATTGTTTATTATATCGAGTTTTCAGTATTCCGCGATTGTTACACTTCGGAAATGAAACAATTTTTTGGGATCTAAATCGCGTATTATTTTATTCGAACGAGCTAACGTTACGAGCGCTTTACAGGTTCCAAAGTCGGCCGTGACCCAGTTTACGCTATTTAGATCCGAAAAATTAATTTCATTTCGAATACAAACAGTTATCATGAGTAGTATTACCAGTTGAAAGTGGTCAGACCTTTGTATTACAGTCTGTACAGCTATTTGTTTTGTACCTCTCGGTTACTTCTCCGTAAGCAAAGATCGAACTTTATTAATTACGTAAGTTTACTTACCAAACAAATAAACATACACAATTAGGAATTGGACTTGCTGTACGAGTATATGGCACATTGTTTGACACAATTTTGAGGTCTTAAAGTAAAGTATTCATACAACATAATATTACTGTCGCTTTTATATAGTCTTTGTTTACTAATAAGCGTGTAATAGTTTATGAAATGTTTGTTTAAGTATTTGGTTTACGTTCTTTTGGTGTCGGATGTCAACGGCATGGAAAAATAAGCAAAATTTCTTCCTCTTATACGCTAAAATAAACACATTTTTTATTAGTCCGGTCCACTTGGAGTACTAAACAAACAATTACAAGTCATCCATCATTTTTATGAATTTAACAATTTCACATTACTTAGATTTTAAGTAAACGATTCGAGTATAAAATACATATAAAATATGGTATGTGACTATTCGTCATAATAAAAACAATAACACAATTTTATGTAGTATATTTATTTCTATGTTAGATTTACAATTTGTGTAGATAATTGACTTATACAGTATTGTTATTTTATAAAAATTATGTACGTGAATGTTTTACCTAGACTTTTTTTTTACCTTACTAAAATGTTATAAGAATGTTTTTAATTGCTACTTATGCTAGCAATGCTTTCCCTAGAAGACGACATTCGAAATTGGGGTCTCATCAAAGTAACCCACAAGGTTCGCGTTACTGGATCGCATATAACAAAGTAAAGAAACAATACAAATCCTTGTAAAGTGGACGTCAAACAAAAAAGGTATGACCAGAAAAGTCTATCAGAAAATGAAAATACACCAAATATCCATGTTAATCCCAACAAGAAGAACAGAAAAGTAGAGACTCTGAGTTGAGCTCCAACTAAGTCTGTGTCTGTAGCTCTCATTTTGCCATCGGGACCTGTAGATATTGCGTGAATTACTAAAATAAACAGAATTACGTTAACAAGCAATATGATACAAACAGGAACCAAGACGCTCACTACGAAATAAAAGCCATTAGGGTAACAAATATTATGAGTTGACGTAACAGTAGATAAATCTGGTATGTAATTATCGGTATCCAACAATAAAACGAAAATCACGGGAAACAGAGGAACACCCCAACCTATCAACGTGAATTTTATCATAAATCTAGATGGTCTGTGTACTCCGAAAACTCTAACATATCGTACAAATTGCAGAATTGCAGTAATAAGCATCCACATGAAGCTTGCCAATATAGAGTAGTGTAGAAACGCTCCCAAAACAATGCAAACAACTTTCATATTATCAGATATTGTGATGTGACCATCGATATTAATAAATATGGTATTATCTAAATCAAATACTACAATAAATATCAAAGGAAGTGCTATAGCCGTTGAAAGTTGTAGTAAAACTTTTGTACCGGGTTTCTTACGCCAAGTTTGGAATACAAAGGCTGTTATCCAAATTCCTGCTATACCAAGCAGAGACAAGAAACTTCCAATAAGAGTGATAATATTTAAAGTTCTACTATGTACATCGTTATTTCTAATATTTGGATTACCACTAATGTCAATTAATTGTCCGAAATGGGTCATATGGTAACATTCACAAATTGTCATGTCATCAATAGTGTCTATATAGAAACAACCATGATTTGTCCAAAATCCCGGGTTACCCCCTACAATTTTTTTTTCAAAATTCCAATAGCCACATATTTTCCCTGTTGATGAAGAATTTATTTCTTTAAAAACTAGTGCTATAGGAAACTTCAAGTTTGAAATATATCCCGGTATTGAAATTCCTATTACACGACTGTTTATAGTAAACGCGGATTCATCCAGCTGCTGAAATACAGCATCATTATGAAAAATATTAATTATCACGTGAACATCTTTTGAATTGACTAAATCGTTGTTAGAGTCGTTAGAAGAAGTATTTGACGTTTTGCATAAAGAATTTAAAACATTCTCTGGCACCCAAGTAGCCAGCTCTAAATTTTTAATTGAAAACACATATTCTAATGTTGTGTTTTTAAATAGAGGCTGTATAAGCATATCACTGAATTTGTTAGATTTCTTCGTCCTTGAAATTACTAGTCCGGTTATATTAGTAAATTCTGGGTAGCTTACTTGAACCACAAACTGTGGTTCGACTGCAAGATGATAATAATTTTTATTCAACAAGCGTTGTTCCTCCATCAATCTTTTCTGCGCAATCCTTTCAATTATTTCGCTAACAGAATCTACAATAATATTAGTAGAGTTGAATAACTGTGACAGTCGTAAATAGGCATTATCGAGTATTAATATACGATCCATAGCCCATGCCATATTTTCAATATCACCCATCTCTACAGAGGTTTCATTTTGCTGTAACATATTTAGTATATATTGTAAAGACATAGCTAAGTAATAAATATCAGCAGGAATTAAAATATCTACATCTCCAAGAACATAATTAAGCCCATCAATGAGAAAACGTAATGTGGTGTTTTCAGAAACTCTACCTCTGATAAAATTGTATAAAAATGTTGTTGTTGAAGATGGTTGAAATTTTGTATCACATTGCCCATCTATGTCACCCCAGAAACCACCAAAAGCATATGAACCTCGACACTGCCTTTTGACTGGGAGGCCATTGCGTTGTAAACAGAATTGTTTAGGTGCAGCAATGTGGTCAATCGGTGTCAATTCCCATTCAAGTATAGTATAATCAATGCTCGTAGTTGGCAAACAATACAGTGAGCTGGATATATTTAGAAAAGTAATATTGTGATTTTGAAGTTCAGTCTCCGCCTTGCCTTTTAATATGTTGAGCGTGGCTTCTATGTCATTACCTTTATCTTCACTATCTCCAGTGAGAGCTACATGAACGTGTAGTAACATTACCATTTGCTTCATAGAATACTCGAAAACTTCCATGACTAGCACTTGTTCTGCATTTAGAGTGGTTGCTACAATATTAGTTAAATTTGCAATACCCTTAGTTTCATCCACTTCCCTGTCAAATTCAAAAGTTTTTATAAATAATGCAAATACGTGCAACTGATTGCCTTCAGGGTTAACAACAACTTTATTCGTAGCTACTAATGATAATGTTTTTGTATGTCCTTCGCACCAATATTGTGCAGATCGCTTTGTAACGAGGTCGATAATATAAATAACTTTTTCTACATTTGTGACGTTTGCTTCATCATAATATAATACATTGGCGGTTTCTAAAAACGGTATATTATTAACATCAACTACTCTTACAAATCCTTTTGCATCTGAAAAACATTGAACTCCTATGTCATTGAAATCATATTTCCATAAACCTGAAGGAAAGTATATAGTCAGATAAAGTTTTAGTTCCTGTTCAATATATTCTAGAGTCAAAACTGTGTCTTTGTATGTCATTTGAGTTTCACAGGCCATGCAGGATAGTTTAGATTGTGTATCTGTTAAACCTAAAGTACCATTGTTATTGATGATTCCTTGAAGTAATGGATTCCCTGAGCTTATTTTTGAGTTGTCCTGGAACGATTCATCACTTGTATTGTATGACGTTTTAAACCAACACCAAGTATCATCAGGTAAACTTTTCATTTCCGCGACTTTCTTAAAGAGAAATCTTGTAATTTCATTATATTCAGTCCTACTGTCACCCATTGGATCCTTACATTTAGAATTAAGGAACTCGTCATAAGTTAGGGTCATGTTGAGGGCTTGTTCAATACCAAAGCATCTACCGTCATCGGGCATGAACCGGAACCCATAATACCCTTCAGGACATTCTACTGGGTAATCCAAGTTATTTACATACAAACATAAGTTTGGGTAAACTTTGTCGCATGTCTCCGTTTTAACTAACAGTTCTTCTACGTCCAACAACAAACAGTTTTTAAACCATGATAAACTCGATCGTAATTTGTTAAAGTCTCGATCAATAACTCTTCCCCAGTTCGGTCCAGGAATAGTCCAAATCACGGGACTGAATGGATTTGCTCTGTGAGCTGGCAACCAAAAGTGCTTAGAAATATTTAAATTCATGATTGAATTTATTAGCGACTCAGTTTCGTTCTCGGAGAGGTCATTAAGGATAGAAGCACCTCCATTTTTGAGACATGGATAATTCCACTCGGATGGTTGATTTATCTGATAACAATGTTTGTTATTGTTTTCAGAAATTTTGATGAAACCTGGCGGGCATGAAGATAAGTTGAAATGTTGAACAATTTTGAAGCATGCGTCAAGATCAGTTAGAGGCGGCGACCACTCTGTGTTGTTACATTGCCTTGTGATCAAATGGTTATCGTAATAACATAGAGGTTCTGATTTAATATTGCTACCTGACGGACTTTCATGCCACGTTACTTGTATGCCTTTTTTAGAAATTTCTTTCGGACAGTTCTGTAAAGAAATGGTAGAGAGTCAGACAAGTATTGGAAAGTAGTATTTTTAAATTATTTAAACTATTATTAGAGCATACATTAACTACTCACACAACCATTATATTTATACCTGTTGTAAAAGGTTTGATTGTTTGAAATAGACCATTACCTAAGCGCTATCAGTCTTTGTGCTATTAATGAAAAATTATAGTAATGATATAATAAAGTCACATGCCTCAAAGGTACTTTTAATATATAAAAGTCATAAAAACAATAGGAATAAAATAAAATAATAATAAAAACAAAAATGAATTATGAATACTTCCATTTAAGCATAAAAAATAATGAGAAATTTCGTTCGTAGAATATTAAACCTCTCTCCTGAAATGTTGTCATTTGTCAGATGTAACCTTATTATACCAATGCAAATTTTGCTTTATTTAATAATCGGAATGCTGGTGGCCCAGCGGCCTCGGAGATAAATGAGGATCCCAGCTTCAATACTTAATATAGCACCTAAATAAACATTCCCTAGTTGGTTGAGGTTTGGGTGCCCTTGGATTTAATTTCGTTAGTCTGATAGTCGTAGTTAATGTCGTGATTGTCTGGCATATAGGATAAAACCGGGATAGATGCCGCAGTGGGATAAGTACCTCGTTTTCAAAAAGCGTAACTTCCCCAAATCGCAACAAAGAATAAATAGTTTAAATAAGGAGTATAGACACCACTCATCAAAGCTCCGGCAGAGCTTCGTGTGGAATAGACGCGTTTGGCTTGTGCATGCGTTTATCTCCGCGACGAACACGATAAACGGCTCAAAATTTCAGACGCAACTATTTACTATCGCATAATTTGTAAGTTATAATAAATTCCGTTTCATTTTTATTATAACTATACACTGGTTCATTAACTGTTCACCTAGGTGTCAATATCGCTCTTTTTTATATAGGTTAGTTATATAATAAAAGGGCATCTATCCATATCGAATAGGATAGTCGCCTCGATTTTTCGCGGTATAGGTGCCCTTAGGGGCAAAGGACAAGACAAGAAAGTTAGGAAAAGAAAATAAAAAAAATACATTATTTTAGTGAAAAAGACAAGTAAATGATATAGTTTCAAAGTAAGTAAAAGTACCAAAAAGACAAATTATTCACAGTTCTAACAGCGAACATTTATAGAATGTTTTGATAGTTACAAAAATACGAAGTGAAGTAGGTACTAACTTTAAAAACGTATAAATTTATATTAAAGATGTAATATGTACATACAATATTTTAAAGACTACAAATAAAACATTTTATTATGATTTTTACTATATTATTCTAAATATAAAATAATAAATAATATTAATATAAATAAAATGTACAATAATAGGTTTGCAAATAGTCAATTTCTTCAAAATCACTAAATGTTAGATCAATAAAATCAAGTATTAATGTAATGTAAAAGATTAAACTAGTTATATCCATGATAATTATTCATGATAAACTAATAATTTTTAAATTAGAAGGCCCTTTCAAAAAGTGAGGCAACTATCCCGGTTTTACCCTAGTACGAAAAAGTAAAAAGAGTAAGAAGTTAGCTTTTTGTAGGACTTATTATTAGTCTACTTATTGCTTTAATGAATATTCAATTCAATAAGGAAATAATTCATAGAAACTTACCAAAGAACTCAAACGAAGTACGGAAGAAAATAATATAACAAACTCTATGTAATTCATTTTCTAAATGCACAATCCGTGTATTGTAATTGAGAACTCGTTAAAAATATTCATGTCTCTATAGACAGAGTACCTATACACAGAAATATTATTTTTATTATTACTCGTATTTATAGGTAAAGTTGACGGAATATTCATTTGACACCACTGACATCACACTGATATATTTTTCTGTGTATCGTGGATGTGTGGGTTTTTGTATGTGCGTATGTATATGTGTGTGTTTGGTAGTGTTGCACTGCAGTACACAGGATGAAGTATAATTTTTCAAATAAGGGATTTCCGAGGTTCCCACTATATAGTGGCGAGTGTGATAAAACAAAATTAAATCATTCCAGGGTTATTGTAAAAACAATTTTATAAGCAAATTGTAACATAATCCGAAAACTCTTAATATGACATTCCTATCGTTAAAACCAAACACTTTCGGGTGCTAGTCCCGACCATGTCCGTGCCCCCATCCCTCTTAGGGTTACTTCTACTAAACTACAATCTTTATTTATACATGGTCTTATCTTTTTTATTTTATCTTATCGATGATACACACTGTTATGATTACCACTACGGTGAAAGGATTTGCCAATCAGCGTAAGTTACTTGTCAATTGTTGCCCTGTGTGCGCCAGACGTATAGGAAAAGAATGGCAGCGCATGCATCTTGTAAAAAAAATTTGAAAGTCATGTTTTTCTCAATACAACTTTCACAACCATATAACTGAAAAACAAAGTTCGTGTGATTTTTTTTATACATATAAGTGACGGGACAAGTCGTGCGCCTAATGGTAAGCTACACGCCTGTTCGTAACAGTTGCAGTGCGATTCTGAGCTTTAAATCGCAATAACCTGAGATATAAGTTATGTGTTATCCGTCAAAACTGGAACACAGTAATGCTGACGTTACTGTTTGGCGGCAGAAATAGGTAAGGTGACAGTACTACCCTGGACGAACTCTTTCACAAGGAGCTCTTCTGCTACTCAATAATGAAATAGAAGACGACATTCGACATCGACAGACTAAAATGCAAGTAGAGGCATTCTTTATAGGGCCAAAGACAATACGTGTACCAAACTCGTCTTCCAGGTGATGACTAAAATCAACTTTCAAGTAAGGTTTCGCTGTCAACCACCAAATTAATTTTATTCGAATTAGTGGTCCTCCTGTAGATGTAAGTTCAAATCAGTATTCAGAGTGTATTATTGTTATCGACGGTATTGACATGATAACGCCGGTCCCGCTATATAAAAATCACGGACAAGCTTTCACCAGGATTGAATTCAGGAACGTCGGAAGTTTTTGTCTTGGCGGATTTATCTTCTCCTTGAAAATATCGCGCGTAGAGCAATTGCTGCAAAATGAGCATTACGCGAAATCTAGCAAATAAATGAATAGATTTACGAGAAATTTACTATGTTAGCTTCTCATCGTTATTACATACGAGGCGTGAACCTAACTAGAAAATGACACATATTTCTTTTTTCAAACAAACCAACGCCAATATTAATTATTATTGAGGGTGGTTTACATTAACCGATGTAAAAGGAGGAAAGTTATAAGTTTGAAGTTGTAGTGAACATCACAGAAGTCTTTATAGGTGCATTTGTCTGTATAATGTTCTGTGACACCGTAGCTGCCAAACAGACGGACTTATTTCAAAAAGGTTTTATTTTATTTGAAGGCTAATTTATTCATGATGGTTCTTAACTATGTCTGATGAACATCTGTTCAGGGGGTCTACTCCCGTTCTCCCGTCCGGCGTCCGCCCGAAATAATTACTGTCTAATAAGTAATCATTATCACACTTAAGAGTTATACTCTTGTCGGCGGAGCCTCTTCCAGTCATCTCTCCTACAAGCCAGCTCCTTGACCTCCTTGTACGACATCGGCCTTTTCCTTTATTTTCGTCTATGTAACTACGCCTAGGTCGACCTCTTCCCCTCTTCCCCTCGATCTTTCTCTCAAAAATAGTCTTACAGAAGTTAACGTGTCGTATCAAATATCCAATCATTTTTCTGCGTCTGTACTATATAGTATTCAGGATCGTCCTTTTCTCGTTTACTATTCTCAATACTTCCTCATTGGTTTTCTTTTCTAATAAGTAAAGCCCGACCAAATTAAAATATACATGATGCGAATGAAGCTTCATACTTGATATTGTCTTTTGACTTAATCCCCCTGCTTTGGAAATGAAATCGCAAGAACCCAAGAATTTGATAGGTAAAATGTTTTACAAAAAGATCTCGTTATATTCACTTACAGCTGTATTTTAGCAGTTGTATGATTTGGTGCTACCTACGTTAGAAATTGGAATTTTCAAATATATGTTATATAAAAATTAATCACGCAAAAGTAATTTAAAATAAATTCACAACACATTTTAAGCTTCTGCTAAAAATATTCAATATTATTTGTAGTGCACCTGTATGATGGTAATTTTATATATTTTTCTATTGAGGAAATTGAAGGAGGTGAGGAAATCAAAATTATACTTGATTTGCATGTATTTTAAAATACATAAGCAATGTTATGACCCCCACTAAACGAAATACGTACAAAAAAGCTCTTATGAAACATCAACACAGGTGCCCCAATAGCTTTTAACGGTGTTAATATTATAGATATCACTCATTTCCTTCAATATCACTGTATAGTATATTTATTGATACCTATATACTGGACATGTTGATATGATAGTGTCATATTTGTTTGCTTCCTCGTACTGGAACATTTTTATTTAGCTACCTGTTATAACAAAAAAACTCTATTACAAGCATTCAAGTCTTGTATTCGAGTTTTCACTTTTTTTTCTAATATTAATACTCACATTTCACAAGGGTTTTGTATAGTTGATCAATATTAATATCAATCGTCATCGATCTGATCTCAAAATGTCTGCTATAATATTGTAAAACAGTTTTACTTTACAATTGTTACTATACATAAACGAATAACATAATGTAGATATTAATACTATTTCAACAGAGTAGATTATTATTGAAACTTATTACATCAAAATGAAATTATTAAAAGTTTGTATTTCCTTTTATTGTAAACGTGTAGCAAAATTGTACAAATATTGGTCTAGGTATATAAAGTACTAATTAGTTGCGTACACCTAATAACTTAATTTAACTTATAAGAGTTAATTTGAACATGGAGGACTATACACAGGTATGTTGCAGGTATAATATACCCTCACATTCCTATTTTGTCTACGATTGTAATTAATTAAAAAAGGCTTTTATGCAGTTATAGACTGATTATATAGTCATCAATATCCAAATTAAAACGATCTTAGAGTTCTAATGAAGCACATATTTATTCTGCATTGTCAGGTTTGAGACCTCCTTGTGGGAGGGGCGGCGGGGGCACATTCGGTATAGCCGGGTCCTTTGACGCATAGTTTAGCACATTCAGATCGTTAGGTTCTGGCGGAGGCGACTGCGGAGAAGCAGACTGCTCTGAACCGGCTGTCTCCGGAGCAAGAGAAGGTGCTTCATCTTTTATAACAGTAGTTTGAGGAGGAGCAACAGGTCCCAAAACATTCGGCAGTGGACGGTAAAAAGGTGGAAGGTTCGCGTAATGACTTAAGCTGAATGGATCATATGGGTCATAGAATCTTAAACCAGGAAACGTGTAAGTGAATGGACCGACTTGTGTGAAGCCGTCGTAAGCAGGGTCAAAACGGCCCAGAGGCAACACTTGAGGAGGTAGTCCGAACTCATTTAACGGAATAGGAGATTTAGTACTTGGTGGCAGAGGGGGGGCAGGGGTAGGTTTGCTTGCGTCGTCTTGTGAAGGATCGGGCGGTGGGCTGGACGTCGGTGATTCAGAGGAGGGTTTTGCATCAGACGGACCATTCGTCGGGGTCGGCTGTTGCGGCTGAACTGCTGGACGTTTTGCTGATATTCCCGGCGGTGGTATCAGACCCTGAAATCACATTTTTTTTGTATTCCTTGTGATGTCATCCCGTAACGATATATATAAGTGATTAAGCATAAATACTCATATTTATTAATATAAGTACTAACATTCGAGAGCGGAAAGTCGCCTCCATAAAAGACAGCAGGCTGGTAGGGGAAGGCGAAAGGATCATGTAGTACAGGCTGGTAGACCGGGTATGCCTTGCTGGGCTCCAGGTTTTGATTGGAGGTGATTAGAGCATTATACACCTTTGGTATGCGACCCGGTGCCGGCGCTGGCTCTGCTGTTGCCAGTGCCAGGAGACATAATAACTGAAAACAGTAAGTTGGTACTTAAAAAACGGAAGTGTAGAAAAAAAAAAGGTTCTCAGCATGTTATTATTTTAAGTATCACCTAATGCTGCTGTGGTATGTTAAGAAACCGTAGCTGTCTGACATGATACTCCCTGCATAACCCAGACGCGTACATCTTTTCTAAGATCGGGCCAGACGCAAGGGTCACATATAAATATGATTGACGTCTTACCCTAGTATGACTCGGTGAGTACAGAGCCTTTATTGCCTCCAATGGGTAGTTATGACAAAAAAACGATTCAAAACGAATGACCGTGTGCATTATACCAGTAACTTCTTCATACAAAATGTTCACATAAGATGAGAATTTAAAGCGATGCATTAAGGCCGCAAGCACCTCATGACCATAATTGTTGAAGATGTTCTATTACAAGGAACAACCTATTGAAACTCTATTTATTTAGTGTTATGTGGGTATTTTCATAACATACATGACTTTAATTACGAATCCCTAATTTCCCCGAAGTAAGTAAAAACACTTTGCTAAAATTCATACCTACTACACACGCATTAAATACATACCATAACTTAATAACTATTAAGTCTTGGAAATTTATTGTATTATAGTTTATGACAAATACCTAGAATATGTTACATAGGGCGTGTTAAACAATTTTTCCCGGCCTTATGTAACAGAAACAAGTTATTTGAATTGCATTAAGTGTCGGTTGTAGAGCAATTAGGATTTACCTTGAATACTATGTCGTTTTAATCATAATATATTTTCTAAACCATGTTGCAGTTTTAGTTAGTAACTGTATGGATGATATGTCATAAGGTGTCTTTCTGTATGTGCAAATATTAGTTGAAAAATGTTCAAAGGGGAAGCGCTGCATAATTTTAGGCAACCAGTCCCAAGGATCCAATTGCATCCAATTAACATAGCCCTAGTAGTATGTTTGCTAATGTATGTTGTCCGTTTAACATCATATATAAAATCATATATTGTACTTCGTTTTTTTTTTGTTTAGTAGGATTAGAAAAAACGTAAACAAAGAAGCAGCGATCATAAACTTTTTCATCAATCATCACATTACAGTAAATGAAAACATCACCATGTTAATATTTTACATAACCTAACCTCCAGTTAAAAAACCGACCTCAAAAGTCATTCGTCGCCTAGTTTACGTGGAATATTTCCTTCAAATTTAAATGGGACCATTTCTGAGGTACCCTCTTTCCAACAAAAAAAGAATCATCAAAATCGGTTCAAATGGCGGAGTTATCGCGTAACATACATACAAAAAAAACATACACCCTCCTTTTATATAGAACCTCCTCCTTTTTTGAAGTCGATTAAAAATGTTTGGAAGCTCGGTTTCTCTAGGTTTTTGATATAAATGCGGCCAGTCATATGAAGGTTGTTATATTCAACCTGTTTTTAGCGCTCCTCTAAATATTATGCCCATGAGTAAGTATAGTTTCTACAAAACCAATCATCTAAGCTTTGCGGAAACAGGTGAATATAATAATCATTATTAAGAAACTTTTGATTTTATTTCAGTAATTGCAAATGTCTAATAATGGTAGATTATTATTTATAATTGAGGTTACATTACATTGATGGTCAAGAACTGTCAATGGTGAATCATTCACTATGAGTAAATACAAATTAAAGGAAGTTGTTATTTTTGTTGTGTTATTTTTTGTGATTGGTTGAGGTCCTCAGTGGTCCAACGGTTTGCACTGTGGGTTGTATGAGGAGGTTTCGAGGTTGATTCCCAAGGTATGCCCAATTTGGACTAAATTAGTTATGATCTGAATGTTCTGGGTAGGGGCCTTCTTTGTACTATCAAGCCACGGGACGAACAAGTCTTGCGCCTAGTGTTAAGTGACACGCATGACAGTTGCAGTGCTCTTCAGAGCTTTGCTCCCGCCGCGCCGAGACATAAGTTATAGTTATATACTTCTAATTTCATCCTCATCCTTCAAATAGAAACACAATAAAGCATTATTGGTTGGCCGTACAAATAGATAAGATGGTATTACTTCCCTGCTACTAAATGTCCATTGCTCTTACTACTCAAAGCGTGGGGAATTCCATAGTTTGAGACCACGTGTTTGATGTGGTTGTCTGACACATTATTATTATTAATCATATCCGTGGTGTTAACATAACAATTAATTTCTTTTTCGCAATTGTAGATTCTTGCTTCAATTGGTTTGAGAGAACATTTAAATATATTTGGTGAAATTACAGGCCCTCATGACTTGTCAACTTATGCCTTTATGGGTATAGGTCTCTATGGGTGATTTAAAACTCTGAGTTGTACTGCAACTATTATGGATAGGCGTGTAGCTTACCGTCAGGTGCACGACTTGTTCGTCCCGTCACTTAATATTAATAATAAATACATAAAAAAATATAAAAATAATAATAATAATAATACATAAAAAAATGTATTTCGAAACGTATAAAATAAAATAAAATAAAATTTACTTGCCAAAAGACAAACGACGCATAGTTTATCTCATTGAAACATTTAATTTCCCACACTATAAGTACACCTCACTGGAAGCCTTGACATTCCAATTCGTCAAGCAATCGGGGTCTGCCCAAGATCTGACAAACTTAAGTACTTACGTGACAAAATCAATTCGACAATGATAAGGCAATTACCAACTCCACGGGATAATTTTATTTATCAAGTAAATGAGACTCCGTCCGAATGTCCTAACACATGTTATAAGATATAAAACTGTCTCCGTGGTTGAACGGTTACCATACCGGACTGCCACGCAGAGGTCCCGGGTTCGATTCCCGTGCCGGGAGAAATATTTGTACGGCCAACATTTATTTCTCTCGCGAGTTTGGGTGATATTTCGTAATTTCTGGTTGTCTATGTGTGTGTCCATGAATGAAGTGAATTTAAAATTAAATTTCGCACGTAAATTCTGAGAAACTCAGAGGTGCAAGCTCGTATTCGAACCCACGTCCTCTGCTTGAAATTAGGCTACTACGCCGGTTACCAAGTACGTATCACTTAAAATACGTTAAATTGTTGGGAAGAAATAGTCTAACAGTTTTTTTTTATGTTATTGTTATAGCAGAACAAATTATTCCCACGAATTTTTGTGTTTTACTAGCTCATAGAATGTAGGTCAATGTGTGCAATTCATGACTTTGTGACAATTCATTCGGTACAGTCATTTTTAAACATACCTGTTATCCAGAGACATCTCTAGAGCTCGGAAAATTTTAATTATAGAAAGTAAAACAATACATTACAAAATTACAAAGGTTGACTTTTGGTACAGGCTCAAGGACACATCATGCTTGACACTTAAGATTTAAATTCAACTCACGGTCCAAAGTCCAAAGTATCATGCTTGATGTGCTCTTGATTCTTTTTTCTTGAGTACTTAGACTTTTTTGAAGTTGCTACACTATTGAATTGTAACTATTACTGCATATAACCGGTTGAAACTGGTTGATGACTCTACCATCTCAATCAACCGTGACCATGGGATTTGCAAAGAGCCCAAACTTTGTTTGAACACATACATACTCAATTTACATCCGAAAAAATAGTTTCATTTCCAATTAAATTTTACATACTAAACTATAATATTTGCCTGCTAAATGTGTATACACATGTTACTATATGTTTATACATATTTTCAGCATTCAAGTGTCCTTTAAATTAAGAATTGAACTAATGAACAAACTAATGTTTTGGGTCATGGTAAAATAAATGGTTAAACAAAGCACTTAACTACGTATGTACAAACAATTACCGTGGTAAATACACTCACGGACTACGAATTCGGGTCGCATTCACAAATATTAAAAGCAAAAGTAATCAAACAGATGAACATTTTTAGTAGCAGTGGAACTCCTTGTGATAGAGTTCGCTCAGGGAAGTATTGCCATCTTACTTATTTCTGTCGTCAAGCAGTAATGTCAGCATTACTGCGTTTCGGTTTTGAAGGGTAAGGGTGCTGGTGAAAATACAGGCACATGGGACTTGTAACTTATGACTCAGAGTGACGGGTGGAGTGGCAGTACCCCTCAGATCTTAGTATAGTAAAAAAGAACTAATTTATCTTTTTTGCAATTATTTTAAGAGTTTTTTGGAGAAAAATGTTTCTCTGAACTAAATATTTTACTCCATGTTATTTTCAGAATTCTAACTAGTAGTTGTAGAGCTCCTTGTGAAAGAGTTCGTCCAGAGTAGTACTTCCACCTTACCTATTTCTGCCGCCAAGCAGTAATATCAGTATTACTGTGTTCCGGTTTTGAACGGTAAGGGTGCTGGTGAAATTACAGGCACATGGGACTTGTCAACTTATGTCTCAGGGTGACGGGCGTATCTTTGCAATTTAAAACTCTGAGTGGCACTGTACCTGTTATGGACAGGCGTGTACCTTACCATCAGGCGCAGGCGTACGATAATTGTTCGTCCCGTCACTTGTTGTAATAAAAAAACTTGATTCGTTGCGTTGTATTATAGGTGTAAATTTTTTAGTTTCGGACATATTCGAATAATCGAATACAGAATAACTATTTGATGACTGTAATAATAATACTGACTGTAGTAATTTGCAACTCTTGTTTATAACTGTAAATTATTGAATGATCTACACCATATAATTATATATTCTTTATAGAGCAATAGCTTCACTAGAACTCAAAATATTTCAAATATTATTAATGACCCGAATGTATTGCCCGTGAGTGTAGTAGGTGTGTATTTATTTTTTGCTCTTATAATGCAGAGGAAATTGAACTGATGATCTATGTATTGTGTAATGCAGTATCACTTCCTTTGCTTTGTAATTCATTGTGGAGATAAGTATGATTTTGCCATTTAGTCATTAGAAATATCTAATGATCAAAATTACAACGAACAAAACCCAAGTTCCATAAAGCCCTGGACAAGCAAAAGAAGTTGACTACAATTAATCACAAATACATGGTTTCATTTGTAGTTCCATATATTTCGAGTTCTTAGGTT